AGACACATCAGAAGAAAACTCGGAGGTATCACTGTATTTGGCAAAGACCCCAGGAATGTCACTTCCTTTCAGCAACCTGAAGCCACTGTTTTCTGTGACTTCCTCTGTCAACATCCAGCTCAGAGCCACCTCCTGGGAGTATAAGAATCTCAGACTAGCTTCCCAGGCAAACCCCGGGGACAGAGGAGTATGACTTCCTTCATCGTCCTCTGTCTAAAAACTATCATCCAGGTATTTTTGATTAAAGCTGGTTTTTGGCCCACCATCCCTCCCTTAAGGAGACTGGGGACCCTTGGCATGCATCGAAGTCAGAGGCTCATTTTTATGGATAAGGAAACTCGATACCCAATTTTAGGTTCATATCAAAATTAAGCATAAGAGAGTTCCCATATCTCCTGTCCCCCTTATACACATCCCTCACCAGACTGGTACATATTTTATAATACAGTGACACATCATTATCACTTGAAGTCCATAGTTTAGCATTTATTCTTGGCGTTGCACAAACATCCTATGGATTTGACATGTACAATGACATGTGTTCTCCATGATATCATAGAGAAGTTTTGCACTGCCTCAAACATCATCTGCCTACTCATTTCTCCTCCCCCAGCCACAATAACTGAGCTTTTTATTATCTCCATAGTTTTTCTTTTCCCAGAATGTCATACAGCTGGAATCATACCTTATGCTTTTCAGATTGTTTTCTTTCACCTAGTGATACACATTTATGCTCAAATTTCTACTTCTGGCTTTTTTGGGGGGTTTTGGGGGGGGAGGGGAAACTCAGTACTGGGGATCAAATGCCAGGGCTTTTTATATAGGGATTGAACCCAGGGGTGCTTAACCACTGAGCCACATCCCCAGCCTTTTCTTTTCTTCTCCTCTTCTCTCTTTCTTCTTTTCTCTCTTCTTTTGTCTTGTCTCTTCTTTTCTCGCCTCTTTTCTTTGCCCGAGTTGCTTTGGTCCTTGCTAAATTGCTGAGGCTGACTTTGAACTCATGATCCTCCATCTTCAGGCTCTTGAGCCACTGAGATTACAATCGTGTGCCACCATGCCTGTCCACAATCATTAACTGGCAGTGGTGACACTGGGGATAAGCTCCTGATGAAAGTACCTTTGGTTAATAATGCCCCTCCTCATTGCATCTTGCAGTTACGAAGGATTTTCATTGCACCCCAATACCTGGAAGTATGCTGGGCACTGGGTAGATGCTCAATAATTTTCAATGGATAAATGAAGTTTCTTATAATTGTATCAATTCTATCAGCAATACTATGAGGCATTTAGAACAATTATCATCAAATATTTGCATTTCACACATCAGTGGATTTAAAAATTAAAATCATTAAAATCATTTTAATGGGGGGGGCTATAATACAATTGCTAATTTTAATTTTCTTCAATTAAGGCTATTTTTTTTAAAAAAAAATCCCTCCCATCATCTACAAGGCTATTGGAGGCTCTGCATGTTCTTTCCCTGCAACTTCCTGTTTCAGCATGGCCCAAAGCAGCCCCTTGGGACAGCTAAAAATGCTTGAAATCTCTCCCCTCCCTTTGCCTTCATCCACTAAGCAGCTCTGGTCTCTGCTTTTCCTCTTCTACCACAGAATTATCTGCCGACTTTCCCTGGGTGTGATTATTATCACTAATCTTCTGCTTCCTGTTCCAAGACCTGCTCTCTCTGACTTTTTATTTTTGTTTTGTTTTCCACATTTTTTAAATTGATGCATTATGGTAGTACACAGTGGTGGGGTTTATTGTTACATATTTGTACATGCACATAATATAACAACATTATTCCTCAATAGTTCCCCTTTCCCTCTCCAAGATCCCTTTTCTCTACTGATCTCCCTTTGATTTTCATGAGACCCAGCCTTCTTTCCCTATTTCCTCTCTAGCTTCCACATGGGAGATAACACAGGACCCTTGACCTGGTTGGGCTTATTTTGCTTAACATAATGTTGTCAAATTCCATCCATTTTCCTGCATATGACATAATTTCATTCTTCTTTGTAGCTGAATAAGACTTCATTGTGTATACATGCCACATTTGCTTTATCCCTTCATCCAGCAATGGCCACCTTGGCTGGTTCCGTAGTTTGGCTATTGTGAATTGTGCTGCCATAAGCATGCCAAGCCCTGCTCTTGACCTGGGTTTCTGAGAGTTCAAATTAGGTAACCTGGTTCTTGTCCCAGGGGCCTTTAGTTTGGGGTGTCGTGGAATTCTGGCAACAACCTTTTCAGGTAAAGAAGTGGGTGGTGTCACTGCATTGTACAGAAGGAAATTGAGAGACTGAAGTGAAAGAATTAACCAGAAAAGTTCATGTGCAGTTATGATGTCTGAGCACTGCTCCTTCCACTCCACCAGGGTACTGCGCCCTTCTCATGGCTGAGATCTGGGCTGGACTCCAAGTATGTGGTTTGCTAGCTCTGTGGCCTTGAGCCCCACCTTCTCCAAGATTGTTTTCCTCTTCTATAAAAATGGAGACGATAACATCTACCTTACAGGGTTACGGATTTTGTTCAGCGAAACATGTTAAATGTAATAACCTTTTGACATCATTGATTTAGAAAAGGAGCGTCTACCGTTTAGCAAGGACTTTCCCACACTGCCTCACTGGGTCCTTTACAACGAGTCTGTGAAACCCAGATGCTCCCCATGCGACAGATGGAAACTGGGGCAGGGGAGGTTGTTGCTTGCGAAGTCACCCAGCTGCTAGAAAGAGCTGGGCTGGAGTTCTCTTTCGGTACTTCCAGTTCTGTGTGTGTATTCCCCCACAACTCGGAATTCTCCAGAGTTCCACTACAGGGAATTTGGGTCCTCGGCAACGTAAAGCATTTCAAATATCAGCCAAACATGAAGATCTATTGTCTAAAACTGTCTCTTAGCAGGCGCAGGGAAAGTGAGAGACCCTGGATTGATACCCAAGGAATCCAAAATGGCACAACGTTCACCCCTTGGTGCTGGCTTTTGGTTGACAGTATGTTGTGTTCTGGAAACTTGCTGATTCTTTTAGGGAGACCGTGACACTTCCTGGGTAGCTTTTAAAATGCTCTAACTGGGCATGGTGGTGCATGCCTGTAGTCCCAACTATTTGGAAAGCTGAGGCAGGGGGATCATGGGAGCCCAGGAATTCAGGGCCATCCTGGGCAATGTAGTGAGACCCTGTCTCCAAAAACAAAGGCAGCAAAAACCACACAAAAAACACTGTCCCTGTCATATCAAACCAGAAATGTGTCTTCCATTTCCCTGGACTTTCAGAGTCAAATATTCTACCAGTGGATAAGGAAGATGATTGTTATTGCAAAAGACAGAAAGGACCTCTTGGCTGGAGACTCTTGCCTCCAATTTTAGTCTTCCTGTTCAGGTGCGGACTGCTCTTGTACAGGGCTCAGATTTCCATCCTGATTTGGAGAAGGCTGCCAAGGGCTAATCTAATATATAGTTGCATTTTCCAAGGGAGCGGAAATGGCTTTTTTTTTTTTTTTTCATCCTACGCTCACCGGGTTGCCTATCATTGAGGAGAAAGTGGATATTGTCCTGGACGCTGCTGCCTTCAGCTATCACCGATCCAACCCTTCTTTTAAAAGCAGCCTTGTTTGGGCCTTTGCTTCTTGCATGGGGGATGTGATTCCTGCCTAGTACGAGGTGGAGCGGGTGTGCGTGTGTTGGGGGGCATCCTGCAGCAAACCAGTCCTCCACTGTTCCAGATGCTGCCGGGGGCCTGTGTGGAACCAGGGCCCCACAGCAACTCTCTGATGAGAAGGTCAGGAGCGAGGCACTCCTAACTCCATCTGTGAAAGCCTGGCCACGGGGGATAATAACATGAGCGGTCAGCATGAGTAATGGAACGGAAAGGAACGTAGGTGACGAACAAGGTGTCTTGTAATGGAAAAGGCTTGACACCGTGTACCTGGGAACCAAGGTCTGTTCCTGTCCCTGGCAGGCAGATCACTCTCCACGACTTTGCACAAGAATGTGGAGGGCCACCCTGGAAAGCGCCTGCTCCTGCCCGTTGTGGAAGTTGCTGGCAGGTATTAGCTGGTGGAAAACCGCCAGAGGGCAGGATTCAGGGTGGCAGGTGTCTACTTCTGGTCCCCATTGCTGCCCACAGCCTTTTATCTGGAGCCTTCACTTCTGCCACAGTGTCCTCTCTTGCCCCCTTTTCTCCAACAATTCTCCTTCTTTGAATATTCAAGAGAGTCTTTCCTCAGATTCTGTAAGGTGGAAGGTGATGGATTGAACAGACCACTGGGAGTCCAGCTTGGAATCTGATCCACTGATTAATTGTCACATGGGACCAAAAAAAACCAAAAAAACCAAAAAAAACAACAACAATAAAAACTTCTCTAGGCCTCAATTTTCTCATCTGTAAAATGAGAATAATATACCCTCATTGGCTGGTTAGGAGAAAATATAAAGAATTTGCTGGCAGGCATGCAGTAAGTGCTCACTAGATGGTGGTCATGGTTGATTTTTGCTGTGGAATACATCCTTGTTTAAAAAATTTTTTTCTAGGATGGGTATGGTGGCACCTGCCTGTGGTCCCAGCTACTTGGGAGGCTGAGGCAGGAGGTCCACTTGAGCTTAGGAGTTCAAGGCCAGCCTGGGCAACATAGTGAAATCCTCTCTCAAAAGAACAGACAACAAAAAGAGTTGATTGGATGGGAAGAGTCAGAGAGCTCACATTGAAATAGCATTTGTTTGTCTCTTATTATTAAAAAGCTGGGGCACATGCCTGTTATCCCAGTGACTCTGGAGGCTGAGGTGGGAGGATCACAAAGTTAAGGCCAGCCTCAGCAACTTAGTGAGACTCTGTCTCAAAAAATAAAACAGACTGACTGGGGGTGTGACTCGTGGTAAAGTGGCCCTGTGTTCAATCTCCAACATCCCACTCCCACAAAACATAAATGCACTGAGCACGAAGATGCACCTGCAAGTGCCCTCAGGCCCTCTGCAGTGGACCTTGCAGGGCTTCGTGGACCCAGCAAGTCTGTGCCTCACCTTCTGTGCACCAGGCACATACGGGTCACCAGGCTGCAGCACAGACTATGATGCAATCCTTACTCTTCAGCATTTGCCACCTGTCAGTCAAAACAAGTGCATCATGAGGCAGCTTTAGTGCATGACCATAGGGGTTGTGTTAGAGGGGACAAAAGAGGACTGCCAGGCCAGTGCCGTCTGATGTCGATATTTGCAAGGGGGCATTTGACGTGCGGCATTCGTTCGAAGATTGCCAACATCAACAAGTTACTGTTTTAATGAGCATTAACTTGGGAGACTCAAAAATCATCCGTCTGGGCAAGCAGAGGCACATGATAAGGCGAGATGAAGTCACCTGGGCTTGTGTCATGGCATAGAGGGCATGGGCCTGCTCCCTGGGCCCCTCACCATGCAGCAGGAACCTCCTCTGCTCCCGTCCTCCTTATCCTGGAAGTAAGCTGGGAAGGTGGTGCTGGAACCTTCGTTCTTATAAATTATCCGCAGGTCTGAGCCTCACTCTCCTGTGTGTGCCCAAGTTGGAAGCTATAAGGGCAGAAAACTGCCCCTAACCTAAGGCCAGGACAGCTCTGAGAAACCCTTTCCCTCTGCCCCTCATCCCGCTGCCTGACTCCTTGGTGGCAGGAGGGAAAACTCGTGCTTGGGAGAAAGTCCCAAGTTACCTGGCTGGGGTGCACCTGGGCTGGAAGCTGACAGGAGGCACATGAGCCCCACGACAGGCCCACAGCCTTTCTGGTCACATGTGTCCCTTCCATTGTGACCAGACAGTGCCCTAGTCCTCAATCTTGCAACATTGGATACAGGTTTTGCTTAGGTTAAGACTGGAACCTCTTAGTCATTTGAAGCAAAAAGATCCTGAACACAGACCCAGCTAGTCTGGACAGCTGGTTTAATTTGTTTAGGTAACGTGAAATCCCAGGAGTAGGTGGAGTAAGGTCTCACCATCTGGGCCCACAATGGAGGGGGAATGGGATTTGTAAAGCCAGAAGACACTTCGCAGCATCTGGTCCAACCCCCTCATTTTGCAAGTGAGGAACCACAACTTCTATCGGGGTCACGGCATCAGGGTGAGAACGAGGGACCTGGGATTTGTGTTGCAGACTCTCTGCCACCATGGGGCAGGTGTGGCCCCTACCTGAGTGAAGAAGCCACACTATCTGCCCTGGAGTGGGTGGAGCTCTGAGGTACAAGGAGGTTCAAGTTCCCCTGAGCTGACGTGGCTCCATGGTGAGAGGGAAGCATGTGGTTTGGAAGCTGGAGACCTCACTGTGTGATCTCCTGGGTCCCCTCCCGTTTGGATTCTCAACCACCTCTTTCATCTGTCTCTGCACATGCCTTGCTCAGTCTCCTTTTCCATTATACAGGAACCTGTCATCTCTTCCTTGCCCCGCCTAGGTGGGCGATGTTGCCCAAGGGTGAGCAGTGTCCCCGGAAAACACCCCTTGCCCCCCCCCCATGCACTGCATATCCAGATTCCCTGCAATTCCAAGAAAGGCCCAGAACAGCACCTTCATGAACATGACTTGGGTTGTTTTAGGCTTTCCTGTAAATCAGAAGCGGCAACATTTCCTGGGTGATTTTGATTTTTAGGGCAGCTCTTAACCTGCCCTGCCAATCCTCTGAATGTCGAATCTGAGAAGTGTGCTGTTCTTGCAGCTGGGGACTCACATTATGCCCCAGCAGAAGTGGCAGAGCGTGTCAGACAAGGAGAGAAGTCATCTGGGTTTGGTGCAGGTTGAGGGAGCTCTGTGAGCGGCTTGAGATGACCTCACAGCTAAAATTAGAAATAAATCTCAGGTGTGTGCTCTCATGGAATCAGTTGCCGTACTGGTCTATTGTTTCTTAGGAAAAGCATTCACTTTATACCACCTCAAGGCCTCATGGCATTGAATATTACCCAGACTAGGAGAATTCCTCAACCATAAAAACTTAAAAGAAAAAAAAAAACTTTTATCCCTTCAGCTAGATTACTGTTTCCATATAATGTAGAAAATGCAGACTTTCTTCAACTGTCTCAGCTAGGGAAAGTTTGGGTGACTTGCTAGGTCTCAGAAAATGAGGACATTGAGCTCAAATCTTCGACTTGTCAGCTTCTAACTCCTCATGAAGAAATGCAGACCCCCAAAAGGGGAGTCATTTTACCCAGGCACAAGTGGCCGGCTGGGCTGAGCGCCAGGACTCTGAACTCTGCAGAACCCTCTCGGGGGCTGTAGAGGAGCCGGAGTGGGCTGGGGGCAGGTGTGGTATTCTGGGGAAGATGGCTGCAGAAAGTCCAAGTTGTTGGAGTAAAATGGCTTTTTGGGAATCGGTGTCTTCTCCAGGTGACTGTCTGATGGCAAAGAGGGGCCTCCAAAGGTCCTATTTGTGGCCTCCAAAAGCTAAGTAGTTGTCATCTCCTTCAATGGCATGACTTGAACTGTTCACAGGACTCATTACTAATGCTGCTTTTCTTTTCCTGGCCTGTAGTTGCGTCAACATGCCCACTTTCCTGTTGCTGGAAGCCATCGGTATTTTCCTGTTTTCCAGAGGTAAGAATTTTTTTTTTTTTTTTGCAGAGGGGGGTAAGACATTGGACATCTGATTTGCATCAGACACTGTTGGTGTTAACTTTTAGATCCATTTATGTCTCCACTTTACATTCACCTCCCTAGTTGAAGCCCCATCATCTTGTGCTTGGACCACTGCAGTAGCCTCCTGACTGGACAGCTGGGTTCCCTAGATCCTCCTCCAAACCATTTTCCACACAGCAGCCATTTCAAAAATGCAAATCGGATCATATCTGGACCCTTATCAACCCCACCTAAGACTTTTAAGTGATTTTTCATTGCTCTTGACAGGTCCTGTGTGATCCCATCTTGTCTCGGGTCCCCCGTGGCACCCCTTCTCCTGCACACTTTGTACTGCAGCACCACCCTCCTTCCTGTCCTGCCTGGCACCCTTGCTCCCTCCCTCCAAATAGTTTACCCCCTCAGCTTAGGTTACCCCCTTACCCAAACATTTGCTGGCCTGGCAAACCCTACGTGATCTGGGAATGCCCTGAGGCAGAAAACCCGAGTGTTGAAGGACTGCCCCTGCCTCTCTGGAAGACGTTATCCCTTTAAGTCTGGTCTTCCCCTGTACTTTGTCCTGTGTCTGCCCTGGTAGCAGAGCAGCTGTGCAGACTGTCTTAGATCTCGTGTCCCACTGCTTTCAACTGTGAGGTTCATTGCTGGTTCAGCAGAGTGACCTAGGTGACCTAGTCTCCGTGAATAGAGACAGGAGGCCACATCAGGGGGCAAGAACTATCTGCTCAAATGTATGGTGGGGACACTACAGACTGGTTTAGTTTGCACTGAGGCCCAGAGAGGGGAAGGGAGCTGGGGAAGGTAGGACCAGCCGGGGTTCGGGGGTGTTGAGGAGACAGGTGGAGCAGGGCATTGGTTGCTGGTATTCCGCCCCCGCCCTACCCCCCCCCAGCGTGCTCTTCTGGTGCTCCCCTGGATCTCCTTCCTGGCAGTTGCAAACCCTGGAGCCCAGGGCCCCGTGTTGTGTGATCCTCCTTCCCTCCGCTGCCTCCCCTCTCCTCCTCTCCTCGCCACCCTCGTGCTGTCCCATCTGCCCCCTGCCCTGGCTTGCTCCTGGGCTTGCACTGGGCCTTTGTCCTCTGTGCTTTCCCACAGACATTGGTATCCATCAAGCAGCTACCTGGACACTCCTGCCGCTGGTCGTCTCCGTGTGGTGGCACAGCCTTTTCCAAATCCCCACACATCCAAACCCCAGGTGGCCCCTCGGTGTCTTCAGGACATTCATCATTTGGCTTTCCTGGGGATTCCTTGGCATGAGTTCCCCGTCTTCAAAGTTTATTTTTAAAATTTATTGATTTTTTTTTTGGTGCTGGGGACTCAACCCGGGCCTGTGCATGCCAGGCAAGTGCTTTACTGCTGAGCTGCACCCTCAGCCCCAGGGTTTATTTTTAAAATTATTACTGATTGCTCATCTGCCACAATTATTATTTGACTGTATATCAAAAAGAATAAAAGAAATCATTCATGAACTTCTTACCCAGAAACTTTCAGCCCTTGTTTATATTAATTGTATTGACCAAGTATTGTCAACGTTTGTCCATTGACTTCTCTGCTTGGGTTTTTGTTTTCTCTTGCACAAATGACACTGAAGGGGACGGTCTTAATGCACCTTTTCTCATCTCTAAATTGTTTTCCCCTTGAATCAATTTCTAGTTGCAATATACTATAGAATCAAAGGGTCTGCCTTTTTATGATTCTTAATTCATTTAGCCAAACTTTTTCAGAAGGCTTGTGCCAGCTTACACACACTATCACCATCAGAAAATTTTCTTCCAGATATTTAAATTTAGAATTTTATTTAGGTTTTCACATTTAAAATTGTCAAATTATAGCGTTTTGTCACTTGTTTGCAATTTTTTCATGGTGTTTTTCTGTGAATCTGCTTCTATAAATTCTGTTCACTCCAAGGTTAATTTTTATGGAGGGGAGATGCTTTGTCTGAGGGCCTGGCAGTGGGTTAGGGTCTTCCAAGGATATATCTAGATACAGTGAAAGGTGCTGTACCCACGGGGGACAAAGGTAGGACACCTAACCAGTGGCAGAAGTCTTCAGAATCACAGGCCTTCCCTATCCCCTCTACAGGTATTTTAAACTTTTCAAATTCCCAATTTAAATATAAATATACCTCACAGGAGTGGGGCATTTTGTTAATGTTCTCTATGTGGTGATTGCGTACTTCTGCTGGGGACTGAACCTGGGCCTCACACACACAGCTGCCAGCCCAGCCCTCCCTGTGGGACCTTGTGCAATGCAGGTATCATCAGGCCTCCCGATGATCTGTTTCCTGCCCTGTTACCTGTTTGTCCTGGTCCTACCTGGAGGTGAAGACTCCTCTCTGTCCTATCTCTGCATGACGGCCCCCCGGTGTCTTCTCTCCTAGTGTTGCCCTCGCTCCCTCTCCAAGAAGTCCATGCGAGCAGAGAGACCATCGGGAAGATTGCAGCCGCCAGCAAAAGTAAGCCGGCATTTACACCCAAACCCCCGTCCAGATGTCCCTGAGACAGGCCTAGGGAGGCCCTCTTCCTCCTGGGTTGCCACCTATTCCTGGCTTCCTTTCACTCTGTGACCAGAGTCATTTTCCCCAAACTGGGGCCTGACCACATCACTCTGCTTGGTTAAAAAACAAACCAAAAACAACAGCCAATACAGCCTCAGTAAATCCATGTTGCTGAACCTCTTGGTCTTATACCTCAAGGCCTCTGTCACTTGACCACCATCTACCCAAACACTCTTCCATCCCTCCATGATCCTCCTCCTCCTCCTCCATCAACATCCCTCCATGTGCTCAAGCCACACCAGGATGTACCCAGGGGCACTGCCTGTCCCCTATCCTCTCTTGTGAAACCCCTCTTCTGCTTGCAGCCCCAGCGCTGCCCTCTGGGGGGCGCCATCTTTGTGGTGCTCTTCTGACTTTGGTTCCCTTGTACCCTCTGGTGAGGTCGGGGGAGCCAGACAGCCCAGGATTAATCCTGGCTCCACCACTTCCTGGTCCTTTGGCCCTAGGACAGTCACTAATTTATCCTGTACTCTGCTTTCCTCATCTGACCAGTGAGAATAAAAATAGCAGCTCTCCATAGAGTGGTGGGCTGGGGATTTGGGGGTGGGGGATAGCTAAAAGATATAGGATTTCTTTTTGAGGTGATAGGAAATGTTCTAAAGTTGACTGGTGATGATAGAATACATCTGTGAATATTATAGAAATGTATGTTGAGTTGTACACTTCAGCTGGGTGAATTTTGAACTATAGCAATGATTCCTCAATAAAACTTTCAAAGATATAAAATAGTCATCTGTCTCAGGGTGGTTTCCAAAGCGTCTCAAGAAGAGCCGGCATAGAGAGAGGCGTAACCAGCGCTGTCACTATTGCCACTTGAACTCTTGAGCAACGTGGCCTCACCTGTCAGGGTGCCTGACCATGTTCTGGTCGAGGCTGTGGCACCAGGGCTAGTCCAGGAGCTGTTCCCCACAGAGCTCAAACTAGCGTTCATAAGCAGGGACTTGATGAAAGTCTTTGTGATATGGAAAATCTAGTTCAGTTATTCCTGTCTGCCCCACTCTCCCCAGTGATGTGGTGCTCGGCTGCGATGGACATCCTGTTTCTGTTAGATGGCTCTCACAGCATCGGGAAAGGGAGCTTTGAAAGGTCCAAGCACTTTGCCATCACCGTATGTGACGCTCTGGACGTCAGCCCTGGGAGGGTGAGTATAAGTCTCGTTGATCTTCATATTAAGGTGTCTTTGGATGCAAGTGACAGAAGTCCAAACTTAACCCATTTTGTCCCGTTGTCCCACACCTGTAAAAACCTATATATGATATATGTAATTGCATAATATAGAATATAGTAATTTAATATTCTAATTATAATATTACTGTAAAAATGTATATAAGCTCTAGATCATGTTTTCCAACCTATTTTAAGGTACCTGTGTCAATTTCATGGAAATATTAACAGAATTGAACACTTGGCATCTAACAGGTTAAATAGAAGAGGCAATTTACTGGATTTTGGAACTGGAAAGACCAAAAGGGTCAGTCCCAGTTATGGCTCCAGCACAGTGGAGGCCAGGGCTCAGCCGAGCTGTGAAGCACCCTCTCTCCTTCCCCTCACTCTTACTTCTTTGGTTGACCTCCTTCCAGGAAGGTTTTCCACAGCAGAGTTGCCCTGTGTTATCCTTCAAGCTAGTGGCCCCAGGAAAAAAGAAAGTGGACTTTCCTTATAGGTCGGGCAAAACCCCCAGGAGGGCTCCAACTGGACAGGTGTAGGTCACATGGTAATCCCTTGGCCAATCTCAGTGGTCATGGAAGAGAGTCTGTCTGGACCCGAGTCAGTTGTTCTTCCACGTTTTGAGGCAGAGAGGGACCATGTGGATTGTTTCCCACTAGAAAAAGAAGTGGTATTTGCAGAACAATGAGAAGGAGGGCACACTTTGGAAAGATCTCCTGTGAGTTAGTCCAGATAGTTATTTTCATTTCGTATTCTTCCTGGCTTCAAGTAGTAGGTCTTAAACATCAGCAGAGTGTGGTAGCCATGGCTCTTGTCTCTAAAAGGGGCAATTTTTTTTTTTAAACAACCCGATAGAAAAATTGGCAATAAACACACTTTTGAGAAAACAAAACACCAATGGCCCTTAGGCATGTGAAAAGATGCCCAGCTGAACTCAATGCTGTAACGTGTCTCTGACTGATGTGTCACTTTTTGTTTACTGGATTAGGAAAAATTCCAAAGTTTGGTGGCATGCTGCATTAGCACATCTTTAAGCCACTGCTGGGGGGAGTGTCCAGTGTGTGACCTACATGGGGCAATCTAACAGCATTCATCACAATGACCAAGGCTTGGAACCTTTGGCCTAGCAATTCCACTGGGGTACTCTGTGGCCACTTGCACCCATGCAGAATAATGCTTTTACGGTTTACTCGTGGATACTTGTAAAAGATTCTAGCAATCCAAATGTCCATTGATAGGGGACAGATAAATCCACTGTGGTGCATTCTCATAATGAAACACCAGGCAGTCTCAGGAAGAGTGAGGGAGCTCTCCCATATGGAAAGACACAGAATAAATTAAGATGGAAAGGAAGGGTGCAAATGGCGTGTAGGATACCATTTTTATGTAAAATGAAGATGAAAGAATATAATTCATTCTGTCTTTGCTGGTGTGTGCCTAAAGAACCCAGGGCTTTGTAACAGGCTAAGGGCAGTGATTCCTGCTGGGGGAGGGGCTGGGAACTGAGCAGTTGGGTTATAAGCGGAGGGGAGACCCAGCCACAGACTTTTGGTTTTATACTTTTTGGATTTTGAGTCATGTGAACCTACTCAAAACTCAAATAGAAATTCAGAAGGACATTTTGGTCTGGGAAGCCGTAATTATTTGAATTCCATAGTCACCTACAAGTTGAGGAAGGAAGTGATTTTTCCAGGCTGACATTCCTGAGCTAATCTTAGTAAAAATCTCTAGAATTTAGGATCAAGCATGGCTTTTAATGAGGGCCAGATTTTCCCTTGAATGGCCTGTCATTTGGGAGTGTGAGCAGTCTCACAGGGTCATCGGCAGACACCATAGCGGACTTCATTCCACCCAGGAATGAGCAGTCCGGAAGTTCTACCTGGAGTGTCAGCCCAGGCAGAGGACTGCTGAATCTCTATCCTACCCCAGGTAGGGTGCTTCTTTGCAAATGATTCCCTCTGAAGTTTCACTAGTTCTTCCTGGAAGAAGTGACATAAAGATAACATGCTGTTGTTGACTTTGGGATTGATGTGGTGTGTTCTGACATGAGTGGCCTCGAGACCCCAAAAGATGGAAAGCTGGGAGAGTCTGGATTATTGGTGCATGTTTTGCAGGTAAAGAAACAAGTTCAGGGAGGCAAAGTTACTTCCTGGGGTCACACAATAATCTCAAGAGAGCTAAGTGTGGAGGAACTGGGGCTCTTGACTCTCAGCCCAGAATTAGCTCCGTGGGCCATCTGTCTCTCTTGTGGGTAGCCGCTGGGATGGGATGGGTGGTGGCACTCAGTTCACACCCTGCTTTCACACAGCAGATGGACAGCCAGATGTGGCAGTTTGGAGAGAAGGGTATGGGGAAAGGGTAAGAAAACCATGACAAAAATACTTTATGATAGGACCAGAACCTGAGTTTGGGGAGCACTCTAGCTCAGTGTTGCTAGACCACGTTGAGAACGTGGCATGAAGTTCTAGGGTTGATTTCAGGTTTCATATTGGCAAAACACACGGAGCCCAAGATGGCCTGGTTAGTGAGAGGAAACATCTATATTTGGGGGACCCTGATTATCATTTTCACATGGGAGTCCAGAATGGCTGTTTTGTTTTGTTTGTGGTACCGGGGATTGAACCCAGAGTTACTTTACCCATGAGCTACATCCGTAACCCTTTTAATTTTTAATTTCAAAATGGAGTCTAAGTTGCCGAGACTGGCCTCGAACTTCTAATCCTCCCGCCTTGACCTCCTGAGCCACTAGGATTCGGGCATGGACCACTGCATCTGGCTAGGACTCTGTTTTTTTTAAGAGAACAGAATCTGAGTGTTTAGGGAGTTAGATCTGGACTGGACTTGAAAAGATATTCTTGTAGCAAGACCTGGGAAGTCAAAGAATTGGTGTCTATCTGGGTGAGCACCTTGACCTTCAAGGTGCGTGAACAGACCTTCACGCTGTGGAAGGGATTTAAGATGGAGTCATGTGTTCTGTGGCTTCAGGTTTTGGTTATGTTGTTGGCTTTTTGTATCTCCTCTTGCCTCCAGGTCCAACACATTTGATTCACACCTTATTTTGCTTTCTCAGGTTTTTAGGAAGAGCTTCTCAAGTAGCTTTAAATCAGGGCCTTTTGTGAACGCAGTGTTGTTGGGGTGGATTTCAGGTGATTGAAGCCTTCCTCTCAACACTTAAAAGCTAGGAAGCTGACTTCCTGGCTCTAATAGTATAATGGTGGCAGAACCACTGTTGTGTGGTGAGAAATCTGGGCGGGTTCGCTTCTGAGTACAGTAAACTGAAGATAAAAGGCAGCTATTTTGCTCCCAAACCACCAATTAAATTAAATGCCTTAACTACTAACTCAGGCTGTTTTCCGGCATGTTTTGTTTTGAAGTTGGATCCTTCCTGTTTTAACCCCGAGTAAACAGGCCCAGCTGTTGTTCTCAAGGGAGGTTTTTTTTTTTCCCTACCTTTTAAAACTAATCCATTCATCTGTTTCAATAAAAAGATGTTCAGAGCGAAGCCTTCTGCCCACACGTTTTCCATTTACCAGGTGCCCTGTCTGTTTTCTTGAGCCTTCCAGAATCGATTCCTGCAAATCCAAGCAACTATGAATAGTGTCCTTATTTCCCCCCTTTTACACAAAGGGCATCTTAGTCCTCTCCGCATTCTGTCTCTTGTCTTATTATCATCACATCATCTTGGAAATCTTTCCACCTCTGCATACAGATTTATATTATTTTTTAATGAATATCCTTTTTTATTGGGCCTTTTCCCAATTACAAATGAAATTTCCTTTTACATCTATAATTAGAAACAACACTTACTATGGGACTCTACAAATTTAGGTCAAAATAAAAAATATGTGAGATTTATATTTTTTTTTTACAGCCAACTTCCTAGCTTAAGAGTTTCCCACAGTCTAATCAGCCAACCCCCATTATTGGGCATTTGCTATGCAAAGGTACCGTGAGTCTATAATCCTCATTTCATGTATGTGGAAGAGAATCTGTAGGATAAATTCCCCACAGCCCTTTGCATTTTTAATTTTCCATTAATAATAATAAATCGCCCTCATGGTGCAGGACACCGGGTAACTTGACTGTTTCCCTTCTTTGGTTTTTTTTTCTCCTGTGGCCTCAATTGGCACACAGAGCCTTCACCAGTACTGTCACTCTCTCAGTGCAGCGGAAGTTCAGCTCCTCTGTTGCTCATGTCGGTTTTGGGGGCTGATTGTCCCCCTGTCTGACTCTGGCCTAGCTTGGCAGGAGCAGGTCTGGAGAGGCTGCCTGACTGACAAGAGACGTGCACTCTCACTGTAGTAGCCATGTCCACCCTTGACGGGGGCTGGGGTTAGCTTCCCCAGACCCCTGGGTTAGGTCAGCAGGCATTGGCTGCTGAGAAGCACGTGGTGTAATGGAGCCAGAGGGAAGATCAGAGAGCTAAGGTCAGGGGCCTGGCTCCCACCCTTGCTAGCCGTGGGCAAGTGGGCCTTTGCCTTGGGCCACATCTTTATTCCCTGCAGAGTTTACTCTCCCCAACAATCATGTGGGCGTTCACCAGTCATGGCTCTGTGGCTAGATGGGATGGAGCAGGACTGGACAGCAGTGTCGGCCCCGGAGGCCGTTGGCCAGTGTGAGCAGAGCTCTGTCCTAGGGCTGCTCACAGCTCAGCCAGGAAAGCTGTCAAGGTGTCCCGCTGCGTTGGGGGACGTGGGTCAGGACCCACGCAGGCAGATGATTTGACCACACTCTCCAGCTGGTCTTGGAGCCTTCTTTCAGGGACAGTGGTGAGAGCTCTGGCTCTGGGATTCATTGAGTGGCCAGGAGGCAAGGTTGCTGGCCTCTCTCGTCCCTTCTTTCCTCTCTGGAATATTTGTAATTGGGCCCCTGTCTCCCGCTGCAGGTCAGAGTGGGAGCCTTCCAGTTCAGTTCCACTCCTCACCTGGAATTCCCCTTGGATCCATTTTCAACTCAACAGGAAGTGAAGGCAAAAATCAAGAGGATGGTTTTCAAGTA